CCCCCCCCCCCCCCTTCCATGGCTTCCACCGGCCGCCGGCTTGTCCACCGCCATGAAAAGCCCCGGTTCCAAAACAACTACATGTGTGTTCACTTCCGCTGCCCAGTGAGCCGTCCGAACGAGCTCTGACCGGCCAGCATCAACCCCCCGATCAAACCCAGACTGGCCCCCACTACTGCGTTCGGTCCGCGAATACCCTTGACTGTTGTTTCGTGAGACCGCAAAATCGGGCCAAGCAAAGGAGGAGGGGAGCGGGGGAGGGTTGGCATGACGACAAACGCAAATTCAGGGTGGCGGAGATGGGACATCAATCGAACCCGCTCAGGCGTTGTGCGCGGAACGCCAGACGAGAGGATGAGGGGGGGCACCGTGGCAACAGGGGGGGATGGTACGCTAGGGCTCTCGCCAGGAACGCGGGTCGCGCAAACATTATCTTGTTGAATCGTGTCTCCGATTGGTACATGAATGGTGCGTGTGTTTTCATGTGCAGCACGTACCCCAGGTTATGTTTCCAAAGTACGAAATTTGGCACTGTTTCTTGTTGCCGAGACTATCTCGGGCGAGCGAAAATGTTTCAGCAACAAGAAATCAGCAAACCTCACCTCCCTTGAAGCACCATGCTGCCGAGCCTGCCGTAGCCACCACTACAGTCGCAACATCCGTCGCGTTCAAGTTGCCGAAAACCGTCCCCATGCCCGGCGCCGGGTCTGTGACCGGAAACTTAGGATCCTCGAAGGCCATCTCTTCTCGCTGTCCCACTCTGATTTGGGGGATGCGGCTCTCTGCTGCAAAACCAAGGCAAGCACAGGGAAATACACACACGGAAAATGTCCACAGCAGATTGAGATCTAGGAGTACGCAAACACAGGAGGGGCGCTCAAATGAGCAGCACGCATGTGTGTGTGCGGCGCTCCCACCGTACTATTGGTATCGGGGGGTGCACAGGTGGATTGATAATGCAATCGGGCCTTATGTGGCGTGCACCTGTGCAACCCTGTCAGTACGTGCCCAGCCCCTTGGCAGGCGCAGGTATTGGATTGTAGAAGGGGCATAAGGTGGAGTCGCAGAGGATGCGGTCTACTCACTGCTACCATGGTTCCTGCTGCAAACTGTTGTGCGCAAAAGCGTAGACTACATGAGGCCATGCCACCACTAATGTTGTACATAATGGGTTCCACGAGGTGACAAATCCCGTTGCGCCCGGCGCTCGGACTAGGGTTGAGAATGAGCTTGCTTAGATTCGAATTTCGATCATGGTGTGCCCTCTCTTCCGGAAATGAGGGCTGCATCATCACGTTGCCCAGGGCGTTGCCTCCCAGTTCCCACGTTGTCAGGATGCGGCGGAATAACAATCTGAGCACCTCCACCGGGCATGATCGCACATAGAGCACATGTTGTACGCAGCAACCAACGCTTCTGCCATCTACACATGAGCCCGTTTTGTGAACGAAGGGTCGGCAGGATACTAACAACCCCGAGACATGCCGGGAGCCTTGAACGCTGTGTACCGGGTATTGCCGCTGTGGACTAATCTCCCTGCAACTACAGGAGGTGGTGTTACGCACGGCCTCCGAGGAGAAGACCTCATGCTCCTAGGCTGCTCGACAAAGCACAACATAGTGATCAACATGCCTATCGGCTTTGCAGAACGTGCCACTTCAGGTCAACTCGGTCGGTTCCTGCTGCTACCGGGGCTGCGGCTGCGGTGGCAGCTGTGTGTTTGTTGTGCACACAACTCGTTCTGGAAACTGAAGGGGCAATGCACGAGGCAATAATGCGACACAGGACCTTTTGAGCTTTGGAGGAAAGCTATTCACACAGCGACAGTAAAACACATCCTCGCACATGCTGCTTTCCGGACTGACCTTCCAGTGATGACGGAGCTCGTTCGTGAGTTGCGCCACACAGCTAGCTGATGCTTGGCTTGGAGCACGCCCGCGCTGGCGGGGGCACCGCAATCGAGACTGTTGTATGCGTCTGTTGTTGTTGTTGTTGTTTCTCACATTATTTATGGCGGCGGAATCTCAATCTTATTGGTGGGGGGGGGGG